ACACAGCGAGAGAGGGAACACAAGCAGGGGGAGTGGGAGAGGGAGAAGCAGGCTTCCCGCCGAGCAGGGAGCCCAATGCGGGACTGGATCCCAGGACCCCGGGATCATGACCTGAGCCAAAGGCAGACGCTTAACAACTGAGCCACCCAGGCGCCCCCTCTCAGATGTGGTTTTAAAACCTTCTGTGACTACAGCCAGGCTCACCTCAGCCCTGTCCTGTCAGCAGGAGATCTTGGAGTTTGGGGGGTGTCAGGAGGAGCTTTGGGAAGGAAAGGGATGCAGTAATCTTGGAGGGAACAGGTCAGAGAAGGTAACTTGAAACTCCAGTGAGCCACAATGAGAAGGATGGAAGGAAAAAGGGTCAGAGAAAGGAAGACAGGGTGACTACGGGAGGTTGGGAATGTCAGGGAGCGACTACCCTGGGCTCTGTGGTAGAGAAGAAAGGAAAGAACAGGTGATGTGGAGAAAAGATCAGTGATTTCATAGAGAGGAGCAGATGGGGAACTGAGGGGGTTTCTGGAGAAGTGAGGCTAGAATGAGTCTAAGGGTCTCAGGGAGGTCCCTGTAGCTAGAGGTACCTACTGCAAAGGTGAGTGAGTGGAGAGTCCTAAGGGAGATGGGGAAGGCTGAGAAGAGAAGGGTGTTGGGGATGGGGAGTTGAGATATGGAGCTGGGCGCCGGTTGCCATGGTGTGAGCTGAGGCTCTGGGCCTCCATTCAGGAATCAGGATCTGGCCCAGTGGATGGACAGTCACTCCCAACTGGACACAGTCAGCTTCTTGGGTGGGTAAGACTGTCTGTGGGAGAGGGAGGATGGTAGGGGAAGAAAGGAGGTAAACAAGTTGGAAAGAGGCTACCAGGCAGCATGACTTTGCATGGTGACTGAAGCTCGAGACATTTGTCCTACCTCCCTGGTCTCTTGGGAGGGGATCCTGCCTGCCTTTGAAGTCAGGGAGGAAGCCTTATACCAGGGATCAGAGGTTTGGGAATAGGGACAGGCTGGTGTGTGGTGGCAGTAGGGGCCAGTTCAGAATGAAAGCCTGCCTTTCCTAGTAGAGGCCGATGATACCTATCGGTTCAGCATCGTGCTTTCCAGAACAGAGCAGGTAGAGCCTTTGGTTGGTTAGGGTGTCATTGTAGTAGCAGCTCGTAGGCGGCTGTCTAGGGGCCAGAGAGCAGATCGTGACAGGGAAGGAGTCCTCTGTGAGTGTACAGTATTCATTGTAATTCTCACAGAAGCTATCGCTGTACTTGCAGAACCTCTTGATCTCTCTCCAGGGGGCATGCACCATATAATGGATTTGGGGGCAATACCAGCTCTGTTTTCTGCCCCGCACATAGGCCATGAGACCATTACAATAGCCCTGGAAACCCTTTGGGTAGCTAACCCGGGGATAGTCGATGTGTAATATGCGGAAGTTCTTGATGGCAATCTGCACCTTGATGTCCACAACCAGAGTTGGCCCTAGAACAAGCTGGAGAAACAGGAGCCAGGCCACAGCTGGTGCCATTCTTCCTGCTGGTAGAGTTAGGTGGTTGGGGGCAGAGGTGGGTCTAGAGTGGCTGTCTGCCCCTTCCCAGAGCCTCCAGCATTCCCCCAGCCTTCGCCATGGGCCTTCCCCTATACCCTAAGAGCTGGACTCTACTTCAGAGATAATCTAACCCAGGTCCTCATGTCCCAGAAAGAGGAGACACTTGCCCAAAGTCACTCAGCTGGCCGGCCACCTTCAGCCACTCCACCCACTCCTTTGGTCCACCCGGGGGTCTCAGCTTCACCCAGTCTGTGAACTGTAACACTTACAGAATAAGAGGTCCAACTGGTCCTTGGGTGAGGGACTCTTCCCGATTATCCCCGGCTCTGGTCAACCTTTCTGGTAAAAAATGCAAAGGGGACAGAAGGAACAGGCTGAACTACGACTGTCTGACTGCTGTGGAGAAAGGACGGGGGCTGGAAGACAAGCAGGGCCGGAGCAGGGGCAGGAATTCTTCTTGCCTGAGGCCAAAGACAGCCCAAAGGTGAGAAGAGGCTAGGGAGCTCTCTGGACAAAGACCAGTCTGGGAGGAGGGAGTGTCCCCTGAGTTGGAGGAGCCTCCGTGCTGAGGGGGTTGGATGGGTGGGAGGATAGAGACATTGCTGTCTGGTCTCCTTTCTGCTGTCATCAGAACACTTAGTTCCAGCTCCTTGGCAGAAGGCTCGAAGTTCTTAGGTTTTCTTTGATGTTTTCTCTGGTCCGTAGGCTGTGCTCCTGTGGAAAGGTGAGAAGGAAAGTACTGTCATGTTTCTGAGGGACAAAGTGCTGCTTATTCCTGACCCTCAGAGAACAAAGGGTCTGCTGCTCACCCACTCGCCCCGGAGGCCACACGCGCACGCACACAAGGGCCTCCCACTGAGTGCTGGGTTGAGAACCAGAGACCTCAGCGTGGACCCCCACAGTCCCCATCATCACCTCCACACCGGTCCCAATCACACTATCAACCGGCTCCCTCACCTCCGACCTCAGGCCCTATCAGAGTCCGAGCACTCCCGGAAACCTCCAGCCTGTCAGGTGGGATTAGACAGCATAGCCTGGACGTGAGGAAGTGTGGGCCCGTGAGCCCAGAGGATCAGCTTCTTACTGTAGTTTGCCATGTGGGGAAAGGGCCGGACTCCTAACTCTCTTCGTCAGCACCTGCTGCTTCATGAGAACTAGAGAGCCTGCCAGACGCAGCCCTTGACCTCCACAGGCCTCACGGCCTGGCCTCCCTGCAGGGTGTTGGCCGGCTGGTGGGCTTCCTCGGAGGACAGCCTACTCCACCTGCGTCCCGGGGAATGGGAGCCAGGAGTCAGAACACAGAGCCCCGCGTGTTCCGAGGCCAGTGTGCAGTCTGGGGGTGGTGCAGGGCACGGAGGCATTGGGGGTGCTGGCGTGGCTCTTCCTGCCGGTATGAACTGGGGTCCAACACTGAACCCGTCCTCCCCACAACTTGCTTCTCCCCCCGTGTTGCCTGGCTCCTGGCTCCTCAGTGACCTATGCAAGAAATCTGTGATCCTAGGCCCTCGCCGCTCCCTAACCCCACCGTGGGGAGGCGGTGGCTGCAAGTGGTTAAGAGCAAGGCTTTTGAGTCAAATAGACCAGAAATCCTGGCTGAATCCTGGCCCTGCTGTTGACAGGCTGTGTATCACCAATCTAAGTTTGCTAAAAACACACTAAGTTGCAATTTCTTCATCTAGTAATGGGGGTAATCTTTTATGCCTCATGGCACTATGAGAATTCATTACGATGTAGATCAAGAGCTTTTAGCCCAGTGCTTGGCACCTGGTGAGTACTTATTATGAGCATGAGTCCGTTAGTCACACAGCCCTGACACCTAAGACTGTTCCTGAAACTGTCCCTTCCGTCCCTGTCTCTTCCCCTGCTCAGGCTCTCCCCTCTTTGGGACACCACATGCTCTCCAACTCCAGTAAGGCTCTACACCTCGCAGGACGGGAGACTCTCCATGACCTGACCCCCGCCATGTCTCCAACTGCATCTCCATCCATGCCTGTTTCCCCCTTTGTGCCACCCTCCACCTCCTCAACCTGGCTCATGCCACCTCCTTTACCCAGGATGTTGTTCCTCACCTCCTTCCACTCTTACCCCCATCACCTCCACTGAGCTAGCTCATGTGAAGTCTCAACCCGGAAATCCTGTTTAAGAAGGCTCTGCTTGGAAGACCACCCCCAGGGAAGTGTGCACAGCCAAGCAAGTGAAGGTGAAGCCCACACAGGCTGGTGGCTCATCTGTATCCTTCAGGCTGGGGCTATAGGCCAACACTGAGTGGGAGACTTGCAGGGAGGTGCCTAAGCCTGGTTGACTCAAGTGTTGGTTTTGAGGAAGTCGGCTGTTGTCCCCACCTCAAAGCATGCCTCTTCTTCCCTATTTGCTCAAGGCTGCAACTTCTCTGAGAAGAGGTAGGGGCTTTTCATGAAAGGCTCCTGGTCTTCCTTTTCCTTCATTCGATGCCCACCTACCACCTCTCCGCTCTGCACACACAGTTACAGAAATGAAACAGCGCTTGATAGAGGAAAGAGTTCAGGACTTGATATCAGATAACCTACTGAATTTCTGCTTCCTCGTCTATAAAATGGGATGAATACCTTCCTTACCTCATGAGGCTGCAAGAAGAAAGTGAGATGGTCAGTATGAACGTGAATTTCAACCATCACACGGTGTATAAACAACGTATAACTAGATTTGATCTCCTAGGTTCTACACCAACTCGCTTTTTTCCCCAACTGAACATCAGCAAAGCCTCTTTTATTCCCCAGATGATCCAAGTGACCTCCCGCATCCCTGCTCTGCCAACGTAGAGCCCCTTCTGACACCTGACTTAAAATTCATCTTCATGAAGCTTTCTATTATTAGCCATGCCCTGTGTCGATTACCTTAAAAAATTTTTTTTTATTTATTTTTTTAAAGTTGTTAAATACCGTCTGAAAAGCACTAGGACAAATGTTGGGGGCAGTATAAAGGTAAATAAAACAGCTCCAGCCCAGATTACATGTATAATTCAGCAAGAAAGACACACGTATAAGCATGTTACAAAGGCCCGAGCACAGGACCAAGAAAGGTGCTGAGTGTGCAATGGACCTTCGGGTTCCAGACTGCAATTCTAGTGGCCCGGTCTTTAAAATCCTATCTTCAAGGTGCTGATCCACAGCACTGCTGCTTCCATGCTGACATCCTTGTCATGGTTTCATCTGCTCCCAAGATCTGAGATTTGTGGAATTCATTGCCTCATTACACTGGGCTTTACATACATGAGAATTACCCTAGAGATGAAGAAACTAAGTTTGAGAGAGAGTAGTTTGCTCAAGGTCATATGTCTAATTTAGTAGTTCTCAACGGGGGCAGGGGCAGGCAATTTGGTCATGTCTGGGGACAATTTTGGTTGTCACAACTGGGAGGGGCTACTGGCATCTATTGGGTAGAGGCCAGGGATGCCATTAAACATCCGACATTGCACAAGACAGCTCCGACAACAAAGAATTATCTAGACCAAATGTAAAAAGTGCTGAGGTTGAGAAACTCTGGTCTGGGGCACCTGGCTGGCTCAGTCAGAAGAGCATGCAACTCTTGATCTCAGGGTCTTGAGTTCAAGATCCACGTTGGGTGCAGAGATTACTAAAAAAAATAAGTACACTTAAAAAAAAAAAAAGAAAGAAAAGAAACCCTGGTCTAATGAGTGCATCAAATTTCCTAACAAGGGCAGAATTACTTATGCCTTATATATTGAAAAGGGCTGGCAAATCTCCAGAACTTAGAAATATTTGTGTTAGATTTTGCTTTGAGTAGTGATGGTTTTTCTACCAGCAAGAATGTTCACCAATGTTCACCACTGAAACTTTTGAGTTGTTTTTCCTGTAAGGGTGACCCTCTGCCTGTAGTCCTCTACACATTCTCTCCCTCCTTTCCTCCCAGAACAAGTGGCTAGCATGGCAGGTGCAGGGGTGATTCCTTATGATTGAGGGGAACCCCAAGATTTTGCCGAGAGTGAGCTTACCACAAACTCAGTGGGGTCACTTTTTTGCCCTATCCAACCCAAATTGATCCAACCAGCATAGCATGTCATGGGCAGTTCCTGGGTTGTCCTTGAACCCAAAGGATTGCTTCATGCAGCTCAACCTTCTTGTCATGACTTCACCTCAACCCCAGGGTCGAAGTCCAGGAGCTGGATTGTCAGTTCCTCCATTTGCTAACCAGTGCTGAGGTTGCTGCTGGTCCCACCTGGGACTAGGATCATTCAGGGGCACAATGAATGCCTTCTAACCCAGAAGTTGAATCAGTTAAGAATCATTTATATGCAAGACACTAAGCTATCCCTGTGGGAAGTAGGAAAAAAGTATTATATAGGTGGTCCTTGTCTTCTGAAGATCGATAGTCTAAGTTGGAGGAAAATGATAAATACATATGAAGAAAAACCAACGATTCAAGGCAGAAAATTGTACATCTTGAAGACAGAACTGTAGGAATTTAGAGATGGAGAAGATCCCTCTGAATTGGGGGACATCGGAGCAAATTTTCTGTGTGAGGGGCAGGTCATCCTGGGACCTTGGGATGGATCTCAAGGAACAGTTAAGAGTTGAGTAGAGATAAAGAGGATTATGAAAGGTGTGTTTAAGAAAATATAGAAAACCACCTTGGCTAGAATTGAGGCGCTTCTGCGGCAGACCTTGACTATCAGGCCAAGGAATCTGAATTTTATTCTGTAGCTAAAGGGGGAGCTGACAATGGCTTCTGAGATAGAATGACCTAATGAGGCCTCTCAACCCCGGAGCAGGTCCCCCTCTCCTACATCCTGGCATGTCTAAAGGCATTGGTTTGGGAGCCAAGGATTCCAACCTTCTGTCCGTGCTGCCTCCTCCAGACCCACAGCTGTTCCAGGAAAGGTCATGAGAATTCAAAGACCCAGAGCAAGTCCCACGTCTGACCCCAACTTGCTGTTTCTTTCACTTTCCCCGTCTATAAAAATGAGCCCATTACCTTTATTTATCCTAGGAGTAACAAAATTAGGATAACAGAATTTGGATCTGCTCCTGCTTGGAGGGAAACTCTCATGGGCTTTCCATCGGTATCCAGAGGCTGTGTGGAAGTCCGGAAGAGAGAGAGGCTGGCCTCCGAAGGGTGGGCACCAATCCAGGCCCGGCCCTCCTCTCAGCCAGCTCCGCTCACCCCCTCTCAGTGCGGGCCAGAGGAAGCAACAGCTGTTGTCCTGTGGGGAAGACAGGCAGAGGTCCACCTGGCACTGCTGGGATTTTCACAACGCCCGCCCCAGTGACTTTAAACACACACGCACACACACATGCATGGGAGTGGTCTGGCAGGGGTTGGGCCAAGAGGTATGATTATGGCCATAGAAGGAGGAGGTGGGGGTAGCTACCTCATCTCCCTAGGTAGAGGCTACTTGTATGAGGGGCTTTCTTCCCTCCCATCTTCTCCTCCCATTTTGTCTTCTTGCTCACCCCTTTCTAATTTTTCTCTTTTCCCCTTTGCCAGACTCTCTGATCAGTCCTTGGCCTGTTGCCTGACCCCTTTTGTTCTCCCTAATCTTGTCCCCCTTCCTCCATCTTTTCCTCTTGCCCCTTACACAGGGCGAAGGAAAACTGGCAAAATTATCCTACCAAGTGCAAAGGGAAGCAGATCCTGGAAGCTGGAGAGTTGGGGCAAACCAATCAATAAATAAAATCCCCTGCCTTATCCAAACAACTGAGGCAAAGTAAGGGTTT